GTGTCCCTCCTATGTCTGCCCCCACCTCTCTGGTTCACTCTCCCAACCTGTGCAGGAGTATATGTCTGCCCCCACCTCTCTGCTTCACTCTCCCAACCTGTGCAGGAGTATATGTCTGTCCCCACCTCTCTGCTTCACTCTCCCAACCTGTGCAGGAGTATATGTCTGCCCCCACTTCTCTGCTTCACTCTCCCACTGTGTCCCTCCTATGTCTGCCCCCACCTCTCTGCTTCACTTTCCCAACCTGTGCAGGAGTATATGTCTGCCCCCACCTCTCTGCTTCACTCTCCCACTGTGTCCCTTCTGTGTCTGCCCCCACCTCTCTGCTTCACTCTCCCACTGTGTCCCTCCTATGTCTGCCCCCACCTCTCTGCTTCACTTTCCCAACCTGTGCAGGAGTGTATATCTGCCCCCACCTCTGCTTCACTCTCCCACTGTGTCCCTTAGAGGTGATAAACTTCATTGTTTTCTGGCTTTTCATTAATATGCATATAGGCAAATACAGATGTGTTTTCTCTTGTTTTCCTTCTTTTGTATACAAAACATAGCATATGTGCTCTTTTTTTCATTCTGCCTTTTTGATTTTACAGTATACCTTAGAAATGCCACATATGGATTCAGAATTGTTTCTCATTCTCTTTAGTGCTCTATTTTGTAAATATGCCGTAGTTCACTTAACCAGTCTTCTGTGCTTGGACATGTAGGTAGTTTTCTAGATTTTGCAGTTAAAATATACTATACTGAATAACTTTGTGATATTGTCTTGTATTGTTGGTATATCCTTAGTATAAATTCCCAGAAGTGAAATTTCTGGGTGAATGCATTCAGGCGTCCTCAAACTGCAGCCCGCGGGCCACATGCGACCTGCCTAGGACATTTATCCGGCCCGCTGGGTGTTTTTGCCACTCCTGCCTGTCCTGCTTAGCAGCCGACTTGTCCTGGGGCCCGCAGTCCGGCCCTCCAACAGTCTGAGGGACAGTGAACTGGCCCCCTGTTTAAAAAGTTTGAGGACCCTGGCATAGACGTTAGACATTAGACATTGTCAAATTCCCCTCAGTAGCGGTTGTGCCAGTTTGCCTTCCTCTACAGTCTCATCAACACAGTATGTTGTTAAGTTTTGACTGTTTGCTAACCTGATAGGTGAGAAATGGTATCTTACTGTAGTTTTTGCTTTTCTCTTACTGTGACTGAATTTGAGTTCACATATTTCAGGACCATTTGAGGCTATTTTTCTTCATTTTCGGAAATTCTTTGTAAGGTATATTTGCCCTTACATATGATGTTACCTTGTAAATATTTTTTTCATTTTGTCACTTATTTTTCAATTTTGTTTTTGGTATTTTTGCCATGTAATTTTGTTTTTATATAGTCAAATTTACAAATCTTTCATTGCATATAAGTCATGATTAGAAAGCTTTCTGTATACCCAAGTCATGGAGGCATTTACCCATGTTTTCTTCTAGTATTTGTATTTTATATTTAAAGTTCTGTTCCATTTCCAGTTTATCCCTGTGTATAATGTGAAGAATGGATCTAGTTTTATCTTTCCAAATGGCTTTATAGTTGTAAAAACACCATTAAAAAGACCACCTTTGGCCAGGTGTGGTGGCTCATTCCTGTAATAGCACTTTGGGAGGATGAATCAGGAGGATTGTTTGAGAGTAGGAGTTTAAGACCAGTCTAAGCACCATAGTGAGACCCCCATCTCTACAAAAAAATAAACAAATTAGCCAGGCATTGTGGTGTGTGTCTTTAGTCTCAGCTACTCAGATTGCTGAGATAGGAAGATCCCTGAGCCTAGGAGTTTGCAATGAGCTCTGATGATATGACAGAGTGAGTCCTTGTCTCAAAAAAATAGAAAGACCATCTTTTCCCCTAGAAATTTGCAATGCCATCTTTGTTATTGATTTCTATTTGTACTTGGGACAATTTCTAGATTTTCTGTTCAGTTCCATTTGGCTATATATTTATATACCAGTATAATACTGTTTCAATTATATAGGCTTTAGTATCTAGTATGGCTAGTACCCTCTTATAGCTCTTCCTCTTGTTTTTTCCCTGGCAACTTTTGTATATTTACTTAAGGGATTTTGTTTTATGACTATAGGAAGTTGAATATCTTTCTGTCCTGAGGGCTGAGGATGAGTATAAGTAGAAGGCTAAGGCAGAGAAGGAAATAGGTGGAACAGGGTACCTGTTGTATGTGGGAATAGGGACTCTTAGCAGAAATAGATGGTATGTTGTTGCTAATGACTCTGGAATTCTGCCCCCTTGAGTACCCCTCACATTTTAAGTGACATGGATTGCTTTGCCCAGAGCGATAAAGGTAAGCAGGGAACAAAGCCATGCCACCTTTTCTTAGTGGCCTGTGATGATCTTACTTAGTACTTAATATTGTTTAATATTTAATTATCTAATAGTCATTTGGGGAAGCTCTCTGAGCTCAGCACCTTTGGGTTTGATGTCTGTAGAATGATGCTTTATCTTCCCAGTGATACCCTGAGTTTCTGCCTTCTCCTGTATCATCAGTGTGATTCTTTATACATGTCCCCTCTAAAGTCTGTATCTTACTTGTGTTGCCCCTGACTCTTCCTCACATGTTCACATAAAGAATTTCTGAGTAAGATTCACAGAATTTGCAAATACTAAACTATAAGCGTCTGATGCCCATGTACGTTAAGAGAGGGAGATCTGAATTTTAACAAAGTCTAATCACAAATATCTAATTGTCCAAGGCTAAAGGATAACTAGCTTAGAACTGCTGTATTTGTTCTCAGGACTCAGTCTGTCAGTAGGTGGATGCTGATGGTGTGTCAGTTGTGGGGAGAGTGTCTTTAAGGGAACAGAGTCCCAGCCCAAGTGTGTGCACTTCCTGAGTCATGTGCTTTATCCCCCAGTTCTGATCCTGGTTCAGTAATCTGACTGCAGATTTTCAATCATAATACTATAATAAAATAAGTAATAATAACACATAACTGTCACCAAGAGACAGGTATTGTTCTCAATGCTGCATGTATTACCTCATTTCATATTTGCAAAGACACTATTACTTTCATTTTACAGATGGTGAAATTGCTACACAATGTGGTTATTAAGTATCTTTCTCAAGTCCACACAGCTAGGTATTTGGATGTGGGCAGTGTTACTTCCTGCTTGATGGTTTGAAGTTTTGGTTCTCATTTTTTTTTTTTTTTTTTTTTT